TAGTTCTTTTAGAAATCTCCATACTATTGTCCAAGGAGGTTGTACTAATTAGCATTCCTACCAATATTGTATAAGCATTCCTTTTTCACTGCATCTATGTCAACATCTATTTTTCTTTGACTTTTTAATAATGAGCATGCTGACAGGGGTAAGGTGGTATTTCAATGTGGTTTTAATTTGCATTTCTCTGATGATTAGTGATGTTGAACATTTTTTTCATATATTTGTTAGCCATTTATATCTATTCTTTTGAAAATGTCTTTGGCCCACTTTTTAATGGGGTTATTTGTTTTTTTCTTGCTGAGTTGAGTTCCTTATAGATTCTGAATATTAGCCCTGTGTTGGATGTATAGTTTGTGAATTTTTTTCCCATTTTGTATGTTTTTTATGTAGTGTTTTGATTATTTCTTTTACTGTGCAGAAGCTTTTTAGTTTAATTAGGTCCCAATTACTTAGTTTTGTTTTTGTTGCATTTGCTTTGGGGTCGTCATAAATTATTTGCCTAGGCTGATGCCTAAAAGAGTTTTTCCTAAATTTTCTTCTAGAATTTTTATTATTTTAGGTCTTACATTTAAGTCTTTAAATCATCTTGAGCTAATTTTTGTACATGATGAGAGATAGGAATCCAGTTTCATTCTTCTGCATGCAGCTATCCAAAGGTTCACATTCTCTCATGGACCTTAGCATGTGTTGCAAAGTGGAAAGAAATTCCCCTTAGTACTTTATGTGAACACCCAAATTACCCCTAGCAAATCAGAATGCAAGGTTTATAAAGAAGCAGAAGCATATCTGGCTGTTTGACTATATTATTCCTTAGTAAGGATCATATATCCCTTTCAAACACTATGGGGATTTTAATTTTTCTAAAGACTCTGATCCCATATCCTCTTCAATTATAGTAAAAGGCTAAAGGAACACATCCTGCCTTCTCTTGCTTAAATCTATGCAAACAATGACATGAAGAAACATGGTTAATCTGGTTAATGCCTCCCACCTGCTAGTTAAATTAATTTGAATTGTATTAGGATAGCAAAGCTCTTCCTCTCGATGTCGATCCTTGTGAGGATCCATCAGCATTTTTTCCTTTTAAAATTTGCTGTTGTCAATAACAATCAACTAGAGTTGAGTGAAGGTGGGACATTAGTATATAAAAATATGTAAATACATAATATTTGATATATCCTGTCTTTTTCCTAATTTATTCAAACAACACAAGTCCAATTAGTTGTTCTCTGGAGATTGGTGAAAAAGTGTCATTTTGTTCTTTTCAACAATAATTATGTCTTCACTATTTCTGCTAGGTATATAAGTAATAATAAACAAAAAATGATTTTAAAAATAAATTGTAAGGGGAGGCAAAGGCAACATATGTAACCTTAACAACATTTGTATCCCCATAATATGATGAAATAAAAAATAAATAAATAAATTGTAAACAATTTTAACAAGTCAAAATATAATTCTCCTTTTCTTACACCATGAGCTCCAGATGCTCATGGTAGTTGTAAAGGATCCACTATATTTTTAAGTGTAATTTGTTTAATTTCACAATTCATTTATATACACATTCACATTGTTCAAACTCTAACAAATAGATTGAACATTAAAAAAAGAACACCACCCATAAGTTACTAAATATTAGAGACCAGGTTTTGTGTATTAGCTAGACCACTATCTGTAGTACTATAAACCCTGGTCAGAGATCATAATAAAACACTAATCTTTGCTGAACAAATTCACTTATCTAATCATCTAGTCAGAATAGCTTTAGATGCCACATTTTTAAAGACTAAGAGGCAGACTTCTGTCATCTTAGGCCTTTTTATCTCAGCCAAACTATATTATCATTATACTTTTGGCTGAACAGTTTTTTTTATGTTTGAGCTATTAAGAATACTTTTTAACATTTCCAAAATCATTTTAATCACCAGAACTCCTTTAGCCAATATTTGTGTTTGTTAAAAGTTAAAGGTGAAACTTAATACTATGTGAAAGTCAATGCAATATTTGATTTTTAGTTTTGTCCTTTCAACGTTAGATTATGTCTAGATATTAAATCTTTTTGGTAATTTAATAAGAAGATAAACATTCTGGCCATTGTTGAAGGTTTTGTATATAAGAAGTAAATGCAACATTAACCAAAATACTAAACATCCAGAGAAGCATAATCTCAAATATTTCTGAGGAAACTGTGAGTACAACTTCTGCTAAACAAAATTGTTACTTAAATTATTAGATTCACTTTTTTCTTTAACCCAACTGTTGTATTTTTTATAGGCTTAGATATTTGTTGTATATTCACCTATATAAATGTGCCTATTTGAATTATGGTTTGGCCCTCTATGATTTGATTTATTTTTTTCTTCTTTTGTATATACATGAAATTCTTAATTATTGTATGACAGATTTGTTTATTACTGTAATGAGTGTCTAATGTGAAAGTCTAGTCTCTCTGATTCTCCCTTTTGAGAAGCAATAGGCCAGTCCTCTAGCATCATATGAATTGGCTGTATTGATATACTATGCTGAATAATTTAATATCATCCAAATCCTCTGATGTTGAATTAATCATTATTAATACCATTGTATTAGTACTATTGGCTATTAATACATTTCTTTAAATGATAAACATCTCAAAACATAATTTTAAGCCAAATTATATAAATCACTCTAGGGATGTCCCAACTAGTTCTCTATAGAAGCTGGCCTAGGGTCATGCTAAAGAAACATAGTGGAGAAGAACATAATCTTTGGAAGCAGATTATCTAGTTTCAAATATAGGGTGGGCTCAGCTGCATTCTACATACTTGTTAGGCAACTCCTCTCAGCCTTGCCTTGCTTATCTGTAAAATGGGTAATATAATGCTACTTCCTTCATAAGGTTGTTATGAGAATTAAATGAGATGATAGTAATAATAACCATATTTATCTAGTGTTTACTAGATGCTTGACATGTTAATAACTTAACTTTTGTTATCATAATGAATTCTCATAACAACATTGAAAATGCACTATTACTGGCCCTATTTTGTAGAAGAGGAAACCGTTTTAGCAAAGATAACTTGCACACATAACATGTTAAGCACACTGTCCAGCACATAGTGAGCTGTAGGTTAAGTGTCCTCACTTTAAAAGACAAGTGACTTAATGGAGCAATAGAGGGTATAAAATCATGGGTTCCTGAAATGTTTGGTCAAAGCCTTATGGTTTGAATGTTGAAACACTTCTGGTTAATCTTTATATACTAGTTTGTCTTTTCCTAAAATATCATTGTAAAGATAAGGTTTAGTTAAAAACCCATTTTTAAGAGACACCATTAAATATAATTCTATACTAAACAAGTGCCAAGCTATTAGACCAGAGCATCAGATTTTGATCTTGAGAGTTCTAGTCTGGCTTTACTGTAAGTCAAAAACTATGCTATGTGCTCTGTATGAATTATGATAAATGGTTATGCAGCATTTGTTGAAATATTATCTACTGAGAAGTCACTACTTTTCAAAGAATTCCACTGGAATCCAATGATTCGAATATTACAAATTCCTCACTGTATGCAATTCAAACCTTTCTCCATGTGACCTTCAAATATTGCTCCTAACAAGTAGGAGTTTCTCAATAAGTATTTACTGAATGATTTATTTCTGATACACCAAATATAAATTGATCTAAAACTGTCCTCTACAGGTCATCCCTTCAAATATTAGAGAACAATATCACTTTTCCCTTCAGGCTTTTAACCAGCTTAATATCTGAAGATTCTCAACTTTATAGTTGGTGATTACATCCTCAGGAAGTTTAGGTGCTGTGAGTCTAATGCCAAATATTGTTGGTACTGAGGAATAAGTGATAATTACCATCCTAAAATCAGGAAGGTAGAGTACTATAGAAATAGTCCTAGGGAAAAAGAAAGTTTATAAGTTGAAATTTCAATCAAACTGTAAAAATTGAAAGGAAGATAATTCAGTTCTAATAAATTTGAATGAATGTAAAATTCCTATTTATTGTCCAAGAGAAAATGCTCACCTGTTGTCCCAAGAACTACATGTTGACGAGCAATGTTGATACATTTTAAGATGAGCAAACTAGTTTAAGCCAGAACCTACTTGGTTTGTATGAGGGTTAGATCTAGTAGGTGCATCAGTTAGGCTATTTTCAATCTAAAACAATTCATTTATTTTATAATAAGCACATTTTTCATTGAACTCTGTTGCTATTGTCATGTGTTGCTTTACAACTACACAAAGCCTAACAATTTTGATAGATCAAGTACATAAATGATTGATCATTTAAACTGTAGCACTAATTCAATCTACTTGAAATTATTATTATCTAAGAAGGGGGTTGCTATTTCTTGCCTATAAAAATATATAAGAGGGTTGAATTAGAAAATCCCTTGGATCCTTTTCAAATCATGATACTGATTTTCCTTTTGTTGCTAAACACTTGCAAAAAAAGATATTGGACAGTCCAATACATTGCAGATTTTTAATTTTCAAGGTTTACCTAAGTAACTTCAATGAGATAATACCTCACCAAAAAATTAAAAGAGTAATCACTTTCCTAAAATTAATTCACACATTACTCTACTCTTGGTAGCATTTTGGGAAGGTAATGGTTGCTTTTGAATCCTGGCTGTTACAAACAATATTTTTGAATATTATTATATGATAGATTTTAATGCATGTTATATTGAGATTGAATCTAAGAGTCAAATGCCCCAGACAACCACCTCCCCACTTTGAGCTCTCAGAATAAGTTGGCAAAAGTCTTAAACATGAAGCATTATAACAATATATTGTTATGCTAGAAGCCATTTTTTGCCAATTAATATTCATTCAATATGACTTGAAAACCAAGTGGGAAATGTTTGTAAACAAAAGGAATCAAACAGTGTAAACATGTTAAGCATTATGATGCCCACATTGACATCCACGTGTCCCAGTTTATTGCCCAACAGAAAGAATATAATCAAATCCAAGCATTTTTCTACTTTTTATGAAGGTAAAATTGGCACAAAATATGAGTATTCTGAAGGTATAATGGGTTAACCATGGCATGGGTTATTCTTTCGTTTCAGGAGGGCCCAAAATGTGGTTGCTTTTAACAGTGGCAAGTTTGATATCTGCACTTGGAACTACACATGGTTTATTTGGAAAATTAAACCCTGAAAGCCCTGAAGTGAATATGAATATTGTAAGTGACTGGGGTGGGGGGGGGGGTGAACTATAAAATTAAGATAGATTTTTGTGCTTTAGAATCATATGAGTTTAAGCTTTTATGTGACCAACAATATTTATTACATGCATTTAAAAAGTCAACTAAACTTAAACTCTTGTGTTTTCCTCATCAGAGTCAGATGATTTCTTATTGGGGATATCCAAATGAAGAATACAATGTTGTGACTGAAGATGGCTATATCCTTGGGATCTACAGAATTCCTTATGGGAAGAAAAATTCAGGGAATAAAGGTATATATAACCTTTTTCTCTTCCTTCCTTTTCCTCTCTTTCCTTTTCCCTCTTTATTCCTCCCTCTTTGCTCTCTCCTTTTCTCCCTCCATTCCTTCCTTCATCTTTTTATTCTTTTTTTCCCTCCCTTTTCCCTCCTTTTATTTCTTCCTAAAGTCTTAATAAGTCTTGTTCATTCTGGAAATGCCACAATGATTAAGCTATATTTTCAGGAGATGTATCTTCAAGGAGATCACCATCAAGCCAATAAGGTAGATAAATAAACAGGTCATTATAATAATATGTGATAATTTCACAGCTACAGCTGTGCACAGAATATTAAACTGGAGATCCTAGTGAAAGCACCTGACCCATACAGGGGAAGATGAGGAAAGCTTACTCTTAGAAATAATAGCCGAGCTGAGACTTAAAAGATTGGGAAGAGTTAGCCAGGGTGTGTGTTGCAGACGGGAGGATGGAAAGACAATTGGAGGCCAATTTCCTAAACAGATAAAGGCCATTTTTCACTAGTACTATTAAATTTTATCTTTTTCTCATTGTTGAAAACTTGTGAAGTACAAAAAGAATAAAAATAAAAAAGACTCCCCAGACTTTACCACTCAAAGTCCACTTAAATTCACATTGTATTGAATTTCCTTAGAATATAATTTTTGCAAGCTTTATTGAGGTATAATTGACAGACAATAAACTGCTCTATTTAAAGTGTACAATTTGATAAGTTGTTGGCACATGAGAAACCAATCAACTGAGAAATCATCACCACAATTAAGATATTCAAAAATATTCAACTCAAGTAAATATATTTATTAATATTTCTAGTCATATGCAAGACTTTCTATCTTCATATTTCCTTAGAATAAGGAATAAGTTTATGAAGTTCTTAAACAATTTTCTTCTTTAGGCCAAAGACCCGTTGTGTTTCTGCAGCATGGTTTGCTCACATCGGCTACAAACTGGATTTCAAACCTGCCCAACAACAGCTTGGGCTTCATTCTGGCAGACGCTGGTTATGACGTGTGGCTGGGAAATAGCAGAGGAAATACCTGGGCCAGGAGAAATCTGTACTATTCACCAGACTCAGTTGAATTCTGGGCTTTCAGGTAAAGCAAAGGGACAATTACAACTGAACATTAGGCTTTAAAAGCATGGGCATTCTCCCCTTGCAACCCAGTCCCATTTTAACAAATTATACTCCAAGTAGGAGGAGAAGGAATTCATTGTTATTCTAATCCTTTCTCAAATTCTTCCATATGCCTCATTTCTGAGAAGCTTTTCTTCAAACTTTCTGTGATCTCAGTACCGCTATTAGGGATCCCTGAATATGCTTTTCCAAGTGAAATGAACAATATGGCGGAAGCAAGGAAACTCATGGCCCCTGGCAAATTTAAAAAGAAATGTCCATATGGATTCAAGAGGGATGTTAAAACCCAGTTGGGACTGGGAGACAGCAGCCTGAGTCATCGTAAATAAGAGGGGTGGGGAGAATGAAATTCACACACCATGGAGAGATTATCAAAGGCTTCCCATCACTGCTCTCCTTGAGCCTTATTGCTGGAAATTCCCAATGGAGGTGGAGAACAGGAGAGAATCTGGCCAACGATGCTGGGACACAAAAGTATTCCTGGAGTTCTAGGAGCTGAAGACCTGAGGAAAACGGAGAGTGACATGAGAGCAGACTGAGGTGCTGACAACAGCCAAATTGGACAGTCCTGTGTGGATGATGGTGAAGGCCTTGGAGCTCATTCTAAGTGCAATGAGAAACCACTAAAAAGTTTGAAACAGGGGAATGGCGTACTTTAGTTGTCATTGTCAAATATCATTCTGGTTGATTTGTGAAGTGTAAAATAGAGGAGGATTGAATTCATGCTAAATGGCCCTGGAACACAGCATATAGATGATTATTAAATCTGACATTCCATTTTAGAGATAGAAATAATTTCCATCTACGGATACTCATACATTAAATCACAGCTGCGATACTGGACTTCAGAATTGATATCAGTTATTTTTAAGAAGCCATCCCAAAGGGCACCTGACACCCACTAATGGTCTATAAGCAGAAATGTTTAAAGAATTTAGTTTTTTATTTCCCAAAGGGAGCGTTGGCTATAAATGCATGAATTTTAGAAACTATACCAAGAAAATGTGTTCGGTTTTATCTTATCTTTTTTTCTTGCAGCTTTGATGAAATGGCTAAATATGACCTTCCAGCCACAATAGACTTCATCGTAAAAAAAACTGGACAGAAGAAGCTACACTATGTTGGCCATTCTCAGGGCACCACCATTGGTAGGTAGAGGCAGTCAGTACCAGGTTGGTTAGTTCTCATAGGCTCCTTCCAAGTGGTTATGGAAGGCATGCTGGCAAACACACTAATTGATTTCCATTCATTCAATGCCTACAACAACCCAATGACAGAGGGACAATTATCATGCCTCTTAGGTGGGGAAACAAAGCAAAGGGATAAATAATTTGTGCAAAGTAACAAAGATTATTACCAATGGATTGGCTCAAAGACCAGGTCAGGCAATCTGATTCCAAAGCCCATGCTACGAAACATTGCATCATACAGCCTCTGGACTGCGTTTATTCTATTTATTTGACCATATTTATGGGGTACCACCAATGACGTGCCCAAAGAATGCAGCAATAAATAAAATAGATTAAAATCTCTGCTTTTGTACCACTTATACTCCAGTGGGACGAGGCAGAGAAAAATAACAAAGATTAAAAAGTAAAATATAAAGTATATTAGATAATGGTACTACTATGGAGAGGACATAATTCAGGGAATAATATTAGGGAGCACCAGAGGGCTTCCCAAAAATTTCATATAGGAAACACAAACACTTTCTGGGCAAAACCACAGAGGAGGTGGTGGGCAAGTCACATACATGCCTGGAAGAGTGATGTTCCAGGAAGGAAGAACAGCAAGTGTGAAAAATCTAAGCTGGAGCACAGCTAGTTTGTTCAAGGAACAGCAGTGAGGCTGTGACTTGTGTGGATGGAGCAGATTGAGAGAGAGAAGAGACAGAGAGAGAGATGCGATCACAGGGGTTGGGCAAGGCAGACTGTTCAGGGCTCTTGGGCTGCTGTAGGGATTTTGTCTCTCACTGAGTGAAAAAGGAAACCACAGAAGAATTTTAAATAGAGGAGTAAGAGGACCCCCCACCCCCAGTTGCTGAGGGGAAAAGGGAAGGAGCAGTGAGCCAGCTAGAGGATTCGACTCTTCCAGTAATCTATGTAGGGAATGGCGGTGACCTGACCTGAGGGAGGGGTGAGTGAGCTGTGGAGATAATGATATTAATACACAGGCAGGTTCTAGATACAGTTTTCAGATATCTTTTGGAGGTGGAGCCAACAGGATTTGCAGACATACTGGATACAAGATATAAGAGATAAATAGGAGTCAAGGATGATGCCAGGCTTTGCTCCCTGGGCACACGGGATGATGGAGATGTCACTAACCAAGCTGGGGAAGACTGGGAGAAGAGCTGACGTGGTTAGGAGAGCAGAAGATTAGTCTGGGACCACTAAGTGTGAGGTGCCTATTGAAGATTCAAGTGAAAGTGTCAGGCAGTCAGATCTGGAGTTCAAGGGAGAGAACTGGGCTGAAAATACACAACAGGAGTCGTAGGTACATGAGACAGGATGTAATGACCAAAGGAGTGAGTACAGATAGGAAAGAGAAGAGGAGGGGGTCCGAGGACTAAGCCCTGGGCCACTCCTTTATTTGGAAGATGAGGAGGAATCAAGAAAAGAAATTGGGAATTAATGGTGACCGAGGAATAATGTAAGCCAGGGGTGTCTGGTGTTCTGGAAGTCAAGGGGAGAAAGTGTTTTAAGAAAGAGAATCTGGGCAACTGTGGAAAAGGCTTATTGATAATAAAGTCAGAAAACTGACTGTTGGATTTAGCCACCTGGAAGTTATAGGGGACTTTTAGAACAGCAACTTTGGGAGAGTGGTTGGGGTAAAAGCATAATAAAGTGAATTCAAGAGAACATGAGATATGCTCTAAAGCTATGGTCCCCAACCCCTGGGCGGCAGACCAGTATTGGTCTGTGGCCTGTTAGGAGCCTGACCACACAGCAGGAGGTGAATGGCAGGCAAGTAAGTGAAACTTCATCTGTATTTACAGCTGCCCCCGCATTGCTCACATCGCAGCCTGAGCTCCGCCTCCTGCCAGATTAGTGGCTGCATTAGACTCTCATAGAAGTGTGAACCCCACTGTAAACTGCAAATGCGAGGGATCTAGGTTGCATGCTCCTTATGAGAATTTAATGCCTGATGATCTGAGCTGGAGCTGAGGTGGTGATGCTAGTGCTGGGGAGCAGCTGCAAATACAGATTATCACTAGCAGAGAGGTTTAACTGCACAATAAATGTAATGCGCTTGAATCATCCTGAAACCATCCTCTCCTCCTCCAGGTCCATGGAAAAATTGTCTTCCATGAAACCAGTCCCTGGTGCCAAAAAGGTTGGGGAGACAGTTGCAAAATGGAAGGATGGGGTGGAAGTGGAGGAAACATAGGTGGTCATTTAAGAGAAACCATCACATGTTTTTATGCTGATCCTCACTCTCAGCTGACAAGCTTGCTTCGGACCACGGTTGCAAGCAATCAGAACGCTCATATATGAACACATATGCAGGAAAGTGTTTGAAATTGGTGATGGGAGCTTATGAAACTCTCTTCTGAGAACTGCTTGTTTATCCTAAAGCATAGAGCTCAACTATAGAATTTTAGATTGCGAAAAACAACTTCCTAATGACCTTGTCATCGTGTTATGAGTCAGGTTCTCAAGGTGAGGAGTAGCACTCAGGATGTTTTCTAGAGAAACACTTTTAGGGGAAAGGGCAAAAAGCAGGAATGGTGGAGGGAGAAGCTGGCCTTTGAAGCAGTTCCCAAAAGGCCTCAGCTGATTCTATGATATGGGTCTTCAGAGCCGTCCCTAGAGTGGTGTGGAGACGGGTCTCTTTGCCCACTTGTTGACCAGGCATTGAACGCAGGCTGCCTCGGGAAGGGAACATAACCTCAGGTGAAGCATTTCTCTTTGGCAGAGGCAAGATCGAGAGGGCTCACAGCTGAGGGCTGTCAGCCACAACTTTCCTTGCAGCTGGGCTTGAATAAATGCCTCAGACTTGAAGGGGAATCTGGGCAGCACAGCATGACTGACACATGGTCGACATTGACTCACAAGCCTTCATTAAAAAGTGGGGAGTTTTCTAGACTACCAGAATTTACTCCTTTAGTTTCTAAAACTATACAAACATTCAGCCATTTTTAGATGAAAATATGTATCAACCTATGACATACTCTCCTGACTTTTTAAATGGCACATATTTAACATAGTTTAATATTTCTTGATGACCTAAGGTTATAAAATTATTGCATTGAGATGCAATACAACAGTTTCCTTAGGATTTATTGAGGTGAGTAGACTACTTGTCTTGAAATCTAATATTTTAATAACTCCAGCTACTACATTACTCTTTTGAGTTATTTGAATTTTGAACATTTCCATTCTTTCTTACTAGTGGACATTTTTTCATTGCTCATAAATATGGGGAAGTCGTTTCTGCTTTCAAATTTACATCTTCCAATCTTCTGTATGATGGGAAGTTAGATAAGTACTCTTGTTAAAACTGTGTTTGAAATAGGACTAAGTTAATTCTGAGAAGCACCTGAGAAGTCACGTCTCCTGACAATGCATGGACTTATGACCCTCACTCAGGCTACTTGTGTGTGAGTCCTGATTACTCTGGGTTACCTGCTGACTGTAATCTACAGAGTTAAGGCAACTATATAAAGAACACTTTAATAAATATAGTGATCTTGGAAAAATTCTCTCTCCTCCAATAGAATCAGGCTGTATATAATGTAGATGTCTAGGTCTGAAAGGTTTTTTTCAGGCCTTCCTTAAATCTCATCAATATGTCAATATTAATATTGGGAGGGTTTGTCCTATGTAATTACCCTGTAGAAGAGTTTAACTTAAATACTTGATCACATTCCAGGGTACTAATATGCTACTGTTCATAAAACTAAGTAATTACAGATAAGAGATAACTATATTTACTGGGCATAGATGTTTGAATTCTCTTGAGTCCTCATTTATCAAGCATTTACTATGTGTCAAGTATCATAGTAAATTCTTTATAAGATTCATCTCCTTTAATTCCTAAACAACCTAATGAAGCACTATTTGAGATGAGGAAACAGGCTCTTAGAGTTTAAGCGACTTGTCTAAGGTCATAAAACTAATAAATAACAGATCTAGGATTCAAATACAGTTTGGTCATATTTTAAACTCCTTCCTTTAACCTTTCCACTTAAATACTCTACTCATATTAAGTGTTACTTATCTCATTATAATTCATCAAAACCTATATATAGCATAAACAGTTTCTGTAATCATATGATTATCCTAAATTAGGCCTATTTTCCAAGGTCATATACAAGTTTATTATAACTTTTTAAAAGTTCTATCCTTATGTCCCATGGAGAATCTACAAAAATAAAACAAATATCCTAAAACCTGATCACTTTGAACTAGCAGAAGTACCAGTTTCTCAGTTTGTCTCAGACGCCACCCTTAGTAAGTCCAAGACAATGTTACACTTGTAAAAACAGAACAAAACACACACATACACACCCCTTCTTCACTGGTTTCTTGTTCTATTTCAGGTTTTATTGCCTTCTCTACCAATCCCACGCTGGCTGAAAAAATCGAAACCTTTTACGCGTTAGCTCCAGTTGCCACTGTAAAGTATACAAAAACCCTTTTAAACAAACTTGAGCTTATTCCTCCATTCCTCTTCAAGGTACGTGATTTTCTTAATTAATTGAATCTAAGATCCCCGATTGCCCATGTATTTCAAAGTGATGGAAAGAGATCAGAAACACCTGTGGACAATCAAAATTGGAATCCAAGATGGAACTGTACATGTTTACATTATTTCTTCAATAGCAATGACCGTGTTTAAATCCCCTCCGCAGCCTTTGAGATCCCCATTGATTTCTTTGTTCTTGCCTAGGTTTCTGGGGGTTAGCAATGCCTGGGGGTGGTTTTGCTCCTCCATGGACGTTTCTCCTACCAAGCACTCTACCCAGTGGTGTCAAGGCCATCATTCCACTCCTGGAGCAGGGAAGGGGAAATCTAAACAAAACAAAACAAAACAAAATAGTACATAAGAAGCCTAATTTACAAGGGCCATGGAAACTGGAAATAGGAGGGAAAGGAAAGAAAGAAACGAAGAGAAAAGGAGAAAGGGGAAAGAAATCAATGATTTAATGAGGCAAATACTTTTAAGACCCCTCATTAAATACTCTTGGCTTTCCTAAGAGCTCCTTCCTCTTTAAATGGGGATTTTATAGACAGTAGCATGGAATTCAGTAAATCATAAATATTAAGTGCTTTATGCAGTAGGCTTACATAGTAGGGAATTAATAATCTTTACTTTTTCCAATGCATAATACTGTACTTCTCGCACTCACTGAAATGAACACACATACATACACACACAACATAAACACACACAATTTCCTTTAGGAGAATGGTTTAGTCTCAGGCTATATCATGTAATGATGCAATTTCCTTCTATGCTTTTGTATTGTTCATTTCTTTCCACTCTGTATTATTAATAACATGTTTAAAGCCTAAGAGACCTTACCCACAGTCAAACTACATTTGTAAAACTTTTATTCAAAATCTGAAACATTGTGATGAACTTGAGTGTATTTTTACTGGCTGCATGAATCCAGAAATTATTTTTTACTTGTACTCAATTTTCTGATAGGCAATGCAGAGAGTGGTTAAAAGAAAAAAAAAAAGAGCCCGAGATCTCAAGTCAGAGGCTTGGGTCAGGATTCTGGGTATAATGCAGTTATTAACATAATTATCCCAAGACCTTGACTTATGTTAACCTCATTTCCTTATGTGTAAAATAAAGATAACAAAATGCCTTCCTCAAAAAGAGATGGGGCAAATCCTTTCAATTCTTAAACTGAGCCTCATTGCCTCCTAAAAGCCTTTGCTGAAAATATTGCTCAGAGCCATTATTTCTCCTTCTGATCTTTTCACAATTTATTACTGAAAGCACACATCTTGGTACTTAATCATGACAGTCTGCCATGTTGTTTTATGATTTTATTCCATAACTCTTTTCACCACAGCTAGATTATAACTCTTTGTGTCTTATTGTTCCTCTCAGCAGCCAATGTAGCTCTTTTCTTTTTTCTTTTCTTTTCTTTTCTTTTCTTTTCTTTTCTTTTCTTTTCTTTTCTTTTCTTTTCTTTTCTTTTCTCTTTTTCTCTGTATTCCTCTATTCAATCTTGGCTGCCACGATCAGGCAGATAGAAAACATGAGGACATTTTTCTTGCATCAAGTGTAGTTCTCAGTGCAACAATAGATACCCAGTATTGATGTCTGCCTTTTCCATTTCACAACTTTATTGGGGGAATTAAATGAAAGAAAGCATTGGAAATTTCTAAGACAATGTATAAAAATAAAAATATATCATCGGCCTAATCACACCTATATAAGTAGACTAGATAAATTAATGAGTCTTTTCTACAATTTATTTGCTGCAACTCTCTAATGATGCTTTTATTTTTCAGATCATATTTGGTGACAAAATATTCTACCCACACAACTTCTTTGATCAATTTCTTGCTACTGAGGTGTGCTCCCGTCAGACACTGAATCTCCTTTGCAGCAACGCCTTATTTATCATTTGTGGATTTGACCACAAAAACTTGAATACGGTTTGTATGCATTGAGATTTCTGTATTTTGAGCAACATCTTTGATTACTTGTTTCATCATCACTTAGAAATGGTACTTTATAAGAACAAGGAGTAGTTTCAGAATAATGTCCATGATATCCTGATAAACCCAAAAGAAATCACAAGTCATTGGTCTCAATTTTGCCATCCCCAGCTCTCATCCCTCACTGCCATTGCTCCTAAAGTAAATAAACAGCACATAGGGAAAAAAAACTCACTACTCATTTGTGACCCCCTAAATAATTGTGTGACATTTAAATTCTATGAGATAAGGGACCAACTGAACTGTATATTTTGGTAGACTTCTTTGTGAGAAAAAAGTCTAGGCATTATTTGAATCAATGTTCTTATAAATATTTTTAATGCTGATAATCACTCCCATACACTTTATAAAGCATATTTCAGAATGACTATTTATGTAGGACCTTGTTTGCTTTCTTTATCTTCCTTTTTACTTGATGCACATTAAATTGGGGTTTTAAAACATATGTGACAGGCTGGGCGCAATGGCTCACGCCTGTAATCCTAGCACTCTGGGAGGCCAAGGCGGGCGGATTGCTCGAGGTCAGAAATTTGAAACTCAACCTGAGCAAGACCGAGCCCCTGTCTTTACTATAAATAGAAAGAAATTAATTAACCAACTAATATATATAGAAAAATTTAGCTGGGCATGCTGGCGCATGCCTGTAGTCCCAGCTACTCGGAAGGCTGAGGCAGCAGGATTGCTTGAACTCAGGATTTTGAGGTTGCTGTGAGCTAGGCTGACGCCACGACACTCACTCTAGCCTGGGCAACAAACGGAAACACTGTCTCAAAAAAATAAAACATATATGACAGAATGCAGATTCATAAAGCAGTTAAGAGTATGGACTCAGGCCAGCCTAAATTCAAATCCTACCTTTGCAACTGACTTGAACTCCTTTGTTTTGGTTTTCTCATCCACAAAATGGGTTATTGTGAACATCTAATGAGCCATATATGTAAAGCACATAGAACATAGTGCAAAGCATCCACTGCAAAGCATAGTAATATCATGTTTTGCTACTATTATACATAGCCAATGATCCTTACTCAAAATAATCAGTTTAGTTACATACCCTTGAACACCTAAGAAAATCGAATTCATGGATAAGAAGGCATAATTGTACAAAGCATTGCAGTTACTGGGAACACAGAAGTAAAAAAGATATATATGGCTCCTGGCTCCATGGAGATCAAGGAGATTCAGTTCTTTTTCTCAATGCTGGTGATCATCTCTGGGGAGAGATATACATATATATCTATGTGTATACTAGCTAATGCAATCTGAGAAAGAGATTTCAGTTTACTCTCTGGGGTCTGAGCAAGGTGGATTAGGGTCCTGATAAAATAATATAATTGGAAAATATGTGTGATGACTATATATGATATTACTATCACATATATATTATAGTTCTGAAAGCAAGTGGCATGTGTATGAATATTTAATTTACTACACTCTGGCACTGGGTAGAGAAAAATGAAAACTGAGAATTTAGACTCAGTTACCTAAAGCCTCTGGCTCCATCTGAGTGACATTGGACATTTCTATAAACTTCTTTGAGCCTCAATTTTCATTTTGATAAAATGCAAATAATAAGCTCTCTTCATTGAATGGCTACAAATTAAAAGAGTTAACACATGCAGCTGTACTTTGCAAACTCTCAAATGAAATACAAATGTATTGCTCACATCCTTCCAGCAAATGCTGACCTTAAACACTTGCTCTGAGTCAGAAAACTTAGATCTTAGCTGTTTTTGAGAAACCAAATATGTGTCTAAATACGCATGTGTATGAGTGTGTGCTTTATTTCTAGAGTCGCTTGGACGTGTATATATCACATAATCCAGCAGGAACTTCTGTTCAAAACGTTCTCCACTGGTCACAGGTATCATTTTTCAGCATTTTTCAGATGCTGTTAAAACTTATTTGTGGGCTTGAATCCTTTGTCTTTACCTAAAGCATGTTCTCAAAACATTCTGTCAAATATACCTGCCAGGTGTATTTGGCATGTGACTATCATATAAAAATAACTGTGAATCCATGCAAAGGAAAATTTTATAAAAACAGGTGCTTTGGGAAGCAAAACAATGAATACTTTTTATGACTTGGCATGGCAAGAAAAATTATTTCAAGCAAAGCTTCATTTAAATTTACATAAATACCTTGTCCTAGATGATTACTAATCTTTCATCAGAATGAGAAAAATATTTTTAAAATAATTGTTTAAATTGAAAATAAACTGTGTGGAAATGTTGTAATTATATTTTTCACATGATAAGGCAAATATTTATTTCTTTGTGTTTTTAATTTCCCTACAATAGGCAGTTAAATCTGGAAAATTCCAAGCTTTTAACTGGGGGAGCCCAGTTCTGAACAAGATGCACTATAATCAGGTAAGTTTCTGAAAGTTGAAATCATTCACATTTTGAAAGACAAAGATATGAAAGGTTAAAGAAGAAATTATGTTAAGCATGCATCTATTTTCCAAAGGAATGTTGATGTCAGGTCTCCCACTGTCCCACGTGACTATGCATTCATGCTCCAGTGGCTGTGCTTGTTCAAGCTGCCCTCAAAGCACCTCCCCCCCATTCCGAGAAACTTCCCAGAACTTATCACCAGCCATTGGCGTTACATAGACCCACCCTGTATCCCAGTTCCCAGCACACCGTTCTCTCCTTTCTAAAGCATGATTGACTGAAACAGTAAACTAATAATTCTACCTATTCATGAGCTAGAGCTGGAATTTCTGGTCGTCCTAAACAATATCCTCTCCTTTCTTGACAGCCAAAGGAGTGATTTCACTGGACTACATTCCCATGTAGAAGAAAAAGACAGTCTTGCAGGTCAAGGCTAGTAATATTTTTCAGTAGGCAGGGGCCTTGTGGCATAGGCAGACATAGTGAGCAGTCCTCACACTTGTCATTTTATCTTGTCTGCGGTCAGTATGACTTTGGGTAATAATTGCTTCATATCTGTACTCAGACTCAGGGAGTTGCTGGTAGGATTTACTGAGATAATATTTACCAGCCCTTAGCTGAGGGTAACTCTCAGGTTATCGCTTGACTGATTTTGAACAAGAGAAGTACCCTACATTATTTTGTAACATCTCTTCTTCCGCTTGACCTACATTTAATTTTTCCATCCACGTGATAGCTGAGCAACTCTACTATTTTCATCTATTTCCATAATGCAAAACTTAGAAGGAATTTATTCGTTTTGATAACAACGTCTAACGTGTTGAGAAGATGCTGCTCCCATTTATTTTGCATTTTTGATGTCTTTAAAGAAGTTTTCAGAATACCATTTCAAACTTTTTGTTGAAAACATTTTTCCCCAACCATCACCTTTTCAAACACCAAAACACAGGCTTGCTTTGAACCTATCTTTGTATTGGACTCTAATACTAGTAATCAAAGAACTTTGTCCTAGAAGGCCAAGTGAGACCTAGAATACCCCAGTCCCCAATTCCACCCTTTCCCCAACCAAGCAAATGACAGTTCAGGTTGATCTTCAACTAACTCAAGCAGTGACACAAATTTAAGAGCCAGAGCTAGCATCTAGGAAACTCTTTCAACGATAGGATATAAGTAAAAGAAAGTGGGTTTATAATTATGGGTATTCCCCACATTGTTCCATTTTCTCCATTACATAGGGAATATAATAGAAAGTATTAAAATATTAGGGGAAATTATGTATGATAAAATATTTTGCTATGGCAAGTTGGCTTTTGGATAACATAAGAATGGAGAAATTTTAGCATATTAAATTGCTATTCTTGAAAGTATGATCTAAAAATCCTAATAAAATTCTCTCTGGTCAGCCAGAAAATTGGAGGTAATTCTCTCATTCCCTTTCCTGCTTTATAAACCTCTTTAAAATGTATGTGTGAATAGTAATTTTCTAAAACTAAGAAATAGGCTGATAATATTTTTTTTCAGAATATGAAGAAATATTTTGTACAATCAGGTAAAGTATTTGAAAAATACAGCTCCTTAACTGAACTGACTGACCTGTCCAGTAACCATCCTGGGAATTCAATACAAAGTTAAAATAAATGACTGAGGACATTTTGAGGTGATCCTACTTTCAACTGTTTGGGTAGAAACAATCTATTACAGTTAGCATCTAATCAAATCTACTTCCTTCAGTTTGAGTTGAGATCTAAGTGTTTACACAATTCTAAGTGTAAGAGTTGGTATCTGAAGCCTTGCTAGTGAACAAGGTTTGGGACCAGCCACACAGGCTTCATCTGTGAGTGCAGAACCTTGAGCTATTCAGAATCTTCATTTTTACAAGATCCCCAGGTGATCCACAGGCCCATTAGAACTTGAGAAGCACGGATTTAAAATATACATATTGCATCCACTTTGCTCTGTGGATAAAGAGAGCTTTCTCTGAGCAATCATTGTTAGAATTTGCTCATAAAACTGTCAGCTAATGTTACACAGTCTACCTAAAGAATAAGTATTGGGTTTAAAGTGTGGTCTCCTAAACTCTGATTCTTTCTCTTGTATTTTTCAGCCCACACCTCCCTACTACAATGTGACAGCCATGAACGTGCCCATTGCGGTGTGGAGCGGCGGTAATGACTGGTTGGCTGACCCTCAGGATGTTGGCATGTTGCTTCCCAAACTCCCAAATCTTATTTACCACAAGGAGATATCTTTTTACAATCACTTGGATTTTATCTGGGCAATGGATGCCCCTCAAGAAGTTTACAGTGAAATTGTTTCTATGTTGGCAGAAGGCAAAAAGTAGATTTTTTTAAACCTGGATTTAAAGAATTATCCATTTATTTTTCCAAAGTACCCTCTTCTCTCATATGTAGTTTTCTGTAGTGTTTAACACTTAGTGCTTCTTTCTGTAATTTTGACTTTAGAAATAAACTGGCATCAATAAACTTTCTATTTGTAATTTTTTAAACTTTAAAGAAATTTCATTTTCCCCTTGGGATTTTGTCTAGAAACACCTCAGAGAACACATTCTTGGGCTGGTGAAACGTCTCTCCCGATCTTACCATTCAATTTCTCTTCCAAACTCAACTTAGATTATGAGCCACGAACCATGAGTGTTGCCAATAGACAGTGTTGGGGTTGAACATCGACTCCACTTGATACTGAGTATATGGTGCTCTATCATCTCTCCATCCGTACAGTGGGGATATCATTTGTTCTTTTGCATGTTTCACCCCACAAAAAGGCCAATTGGGAGATATAAACCAAATTGAGGTCAGCTTACTTTCACTTCCCAGGGATAGGAGAGCAAGGGTAGTTTGGGAAGCAACAGGCAACCCCAAGCCCAATTTAGGAAGTTAGGAGGTAAAGGGGTGCTCTCCTATCACTGCTATTATGCTGTCCTCATCTTCTTGGGCCACAACCATAAAACAGGAACCAACTATTTTTGAAATCACTGTTGCCATCCTGGTAACCACAGGATCCAGAAACAATCCCATTGATATAAAATCAGAATATACAACTGTCACCAGTTGATCGCAGGAAAAAAAAGAGACTCTTCCAGACTGTCAAAATTTCCACAAGCATAGCCTTACTTTGAAAATTTTATTAACCTCATAAAATTATGACCTAATATTTTATGCAAGTAAGCTTTTTGGATCCCACTTATTATGTTATCATAGGGTTTAATACATAACATACAAATGAGATAAAGAGTATCTTGTACCCAATATTGTGTATTGAACATAGTGAGTATTCACAAAATCCTGGTAACAAATTTTATTATAATATCATGTTCCTCAACCTATCCTAAGAAGCCTGAAGCCTTTTTATTTTAAACTCTGCCCTTTATTTTCAAAGCAGAAATAAGAAATAGCCAAAATAAGATTATTTGGGAGCCTTTATTTTAATATTTCAGGAAAGTTTGTTGGCAGGCTTTCCTAAACTGTCATGAGAATCTCAGTGACTAAGTGACAAATACTCATGGTGGTGTAACCAGTTAAGGACCCAGATGTTTCATCAACTCTACCTTCTCGAGTAAAGAACTATCATTATATTCATACACTCTCCTATACTTTTCTAGCTAACTGCCTTTGTTTTAGTCTATATTCATCAAATATAGGCAGTTTTAGTTTTGGTCTTGAATACGAATGAATGCTATCGTATTGCTTCCACAGTAGCTTTGCTGATATCTCTCATGATTAATCTGAATTGTCAACATATCAGCTGATCTTGAAGAGTTCATTTCCACCTGCCTCCTGTAATCACTCTTTGGGTAACCTCTCATCACATAAAGCTCAATAATTTCAAATTCAATTTCATCATTCCCACTTCTCTGAGCCAAATAAATGTCAAGTAAATGAAGTTCTCCCAGTCACCAGGGAGTGAGACTTTGGAGTCAGCTTTGAATACTGCCCCTCCTCTATCCCCTACAGCAATTCCTGGCAATTATTCTCTTCGTTAGTAATATAGGAAACTTTAAATATATACAATGTTAGACAGAATAGTTTAATAAACTCCTTTGAACCCATTACTGGGTTTCAACTATTATCAATGATACATAAGCCATTCCTGTTTCATCTGTTCCTCTAGCAACCTCTCTCCTCCTTTATCAATTGGAAGCAAATCTCAGATATCACATATTTTATCCATGAGTTTTTCAGGATAGATTTCTAAAAGATAAGTTCTCCTTTTAAACATAATAATGCCACTATCATACCTAAAACTTCCTTAATGGCATTAAATATCTAGTCAGTGCTCAAATTTCTAATTATCATCAATGTAAAAATGTTCCACAGTTTGTTTGAATTAAAATTCAAATAAGGCCTTTATCTTTTATTGGTTGATCTGTCTCTTGTCTCTTAGGTCTGTAAGTATCTCTTCTCTTTCTCTCTCTTATTTTTTCCTTGCATTTTTGTTGTTGTTGAAGAAATTTTGTCATTCGTGTTATAATTTCATACCACCTGGGTGTTGCTGATTATATTCTAGTAGTATCACTAAACATGTTCCTCTCTCTTCATATTGTCTGGAAATCGGGGTTTCCTCAACACTATTGACATTTTTGACCAGATAAATTTTTCTTATTGAGGCTGTCCTGGATGTTGTAGGATGTTTAGCCTCATCTCTGGCTAGATGCAAGTAGCACACCCCAGCCCTCAAATTGTGACAATCAAATATGTCTGCAGAAATTGCCAAATATGAGCTTGGCAGCAAAATTGCCTGCCCTTCCCAATTGAGAACCACTCTTGTAAATTATAACCTTGATAAGATTAAGATTTATTAATAAAAAATTACTTCATTGACCCCCCCTTGTCTTCTTCCATAATGAAGCTCATAAGCTGTTTCTCCTTTTAGAATGTCAGAGGCTATTGTTTTCCAATATCCAGCCCCAATAGTTTATTAAGGATTAGAATATGGTGACATTCTAATTTAGTAAGTTCTTCTTCATTTGTTAGCTGGATACTTCCATAAAGAGGAAATTTTCTTCATATGTTGGTTATCATGCCTTCTCTTTCCCAAGAGAAACTTCTGCCATAAATAGTAGCCTCCTTTCCAGTCAAACTGTCTTTCATTATGCCTAAAATATACCTCTTAACTTGCATCATGTATTGTTGCTCACTTTCTCCTCCAAAATTCTTCCTAACTTATTTTGGGGCTGCAAATAAGTTTCTGGGCCTCTGTGCATAACTCACATGAAGATAAATATATACTTGTATGAACAGAAAACTGTGTGGCAATCTAAAACCTACTAGAAATAATATGACTCATATTTTTGAAAATAATGGTATTTTAGAATTAAAAGAGACCTAAACAATTATCTAGTCATATACCATTATTTTCCCAGGGTGATTAAAGTTAATTTAATATCCCAGGATATTAAAGTTCATAGATGGTTAGTACCACGATAAAGGTCATACAATTGGCATTGTCAGAGCTGGAATGCATATTTCCTAGTCCAAATACTTTTCTTTTTTTGCTGCACAAGGGCAATGTGAATAGCTTTGTTATGCTGCCAAATTAAAAATTTCTAGGGTTATCTGAAGGAGGAAACCAAGGAAGGGTTTACTTTATGAAGTGTTACTCAGGGTAATACTGGGTATCTGAGTTCCACACAGAAATCGAGTGAAAGAAAAATGCCAGTTGAATGGAAGCTTTCTCTGAAAGTGTGAGAGACAGTGAGAAGTAGCACTAGAGACAGACATTAGTATGAAAAAGAAGCAATGGAGGTGAGAGGAAGTAAAGAAAAGGAAGTAAAGAAAGGAAGATAAAAGGGGGGAGGAGGAAAGGGGTGTATGCTTCCATAACGTGTGTGATGCACACCACCGGGGGATTGGACACATCGGGGGGGAGTGAGGGAGGGCAGGGGCAATATTTGTAACCCTAACAATATTTGTACCTCCATGATATGATGAAATAAAACAAAATGGTTTTTACAATTTTGAAGGGTTATAAATTTTTTTTAAATGTTAAAAGTAGAATATTCATGGCCGGGGGCCGTGGGTCACACCTGTAATCCTAGCTCTCTGGGAGGCTGAGGCGGGCGGATTGCTCAAGGTCAGGAGTTCGAAACCAGCCTGAATAAGAGCGAGACCCCGTCTCTACTATAAATAGAAAGAAATTAATTGGCCAACTAATATATATAGAAAAAATTAGCCGGGCATGGTGGCGCATGCCTGTAGTGCCAGCTACTCGGGAGGCTGAGGCAGGAGGATTGCTTGAACCCAGGAGTTTGAGGTTGCTGTGAGCTAGGCTGATGCCATGACACTCACTCTAGCCTAGGCAACAAAGCGAGACTCAGTCTCAAAAAAAAAGTAGAATATTCAATAGAGGCCCACAAAGCCTAAAATATTTATTATCTGGCCCTTTACAGAAAAAGTTGGCAGATGTCTATATTTTGTGGGGACACATGCATATATTGGAAACATACGTGAAAAGGATATTTGCTGATTTCTTGATTGGCAGTTACTTCTAGGGAGCAAAAAGAAAGGGAAATATATCTGTATCATTCTGTTTCTTTGTAAAAAGAGATCAGAAGCAAATATGGCAAAATGTTAACATCTGTTTTATCTTGGGAGTTTATAGGTGTCTAGTATATTATGTTTAGTTTGAATGTTTGAAATATTTCATAAATGAAAATAAAAATTTTAAGAAAAAAAAGGGTACAGGTAGGGACCTGAGCTTCCAGATGCAAACCTCATCTGCTTGGCCATGTCTCCCTTGGCCATTATCCTAGCCTTTTTAAAAAAGATCAGATTCTAAAATCCCTATATAATCTAAGACAAACCAGGAAAAGTATTCAAGGCATACAAGTAAGACACCACTCCAGAATTTTCTTTTGAAATTGGCACTCCTAAAAACAAATGAAGATGGTGACTTTGCTACATTTGGGAGACACCTACCAGTGGCTTGTTATGTTGAGTGAGGATGTGAACGGAGTCAAATGTCCTGCACTGGGAAATGTGGTTAAGAGGCAGGAATTATAAGTCAAGCCCAATTAACGTGACTCCATTTGTTATCCCCAGATAGTGAGATTTCAGGAAACAGGAGCTATGTATATAACTTTCTTTACTGGTTTCCAGTCATTTGATAACTTGAAGCCCTTAAATCAATATTAAGTGTACTATGTCATACATTCCTTCCCTACCTTTTCTACCTTTTCCCTTTCAGAGTCCTGTTCCAGCAAGGGATTTGTGGCATGACATGCGAACACCTGGGATAGCTTCTTTAGCACACACAGGTGCCAATGGTCCTCGCTCAAGGCCAGTGTACCTGCTCATTTTACCTTCCATTCAGAACACTGTGGTTTTTCCTCCCTAGGCACCAGATCCAATAGATTACTCGGCAGGGTGAGCTAGACCTTCCCCTGAAATGCCCACTTGCCCAATTCAGTCCAACGGAATGAGTTTCCCATGGTGGCTGGTGTGCTTTGTATTTTCTTCCAGAGGTCT